TCTCCCCATAACTGTCCTCTTCTAGCGTCTACAGTCTTGTAGCCACCAACTTTATGTCCGATGGAAAAAGCATCTATTTTTGCTCTTTAGAGCTCATTCCTAGAGTCCTATAAACCTACAAGGAGCAAAGGTTTGGGGCATGTGTAAATCTTTTTTTCTTCTTTTATGTAGAGAAGCATCCACAAGTGTGCATCATTTAAAAGTTTAATAAAACCATACATTCCAAAAATTGTACCATCTAGACTAGTCCAATCTGTGATTTAATTTATCGCTTAATGTTTTGTATTCATTTTGCCTTAGAAGGTTAAATTTGAAATTTTATAAAAAATTTCTTTCCCTTGAATTTATAGATTAGGGTAGCTGTCGTACCCAGTTGCCTTGCAGAATTAGTATTTGCTGGACAAGATGTGTTGATTCAGGAGGTTGTGGAGTGCCTGCCCCAGGAGAGTCATATTAAACTGGAGAGAAGCTTTGTGAGCAACATAGCATCTTTGAGACAATATTTCAAGCTGCTAGATACCCAGCTCTTCTGTGAAGAAACCAGGGTGGAATTATGGCTGGTTCCCAGTTATTGCTTTGGCACTAAGAAGCCTCTGAGGACTAGGTCTAGGATAAGAGGGGTTAAACGGAGGTGAAAGAAAGCTTTCTAGAATTCCGCGTTGCTGAAAGCATACAAAATGAGGAGTGATGTGTAAATAATAAGATGATGACTCTTTTTGGAAATATTTTGCAATTTTAAATAATCAACGTGTAACCAATTTAATGGAGCAAATATTTTCTTGTCACTCAGAAGGTAATCCCTGATACTTTGTTGATATTATGGAGCCTTCTTTGGGGTACTTCTCCGTTCTTTTTTAATAGCGTAGCAAAATGCAGGTTTGAACACGAGAAGGGAGTTTTGTATACGTATTAAGAACTGTAATTTGTTCATGGTGATGACTTACCGCAACTGATTTTCACTCAGAATTTGAATCATCAATGACGTTATACTCCTCGATGCAGATAAATCAGGCGAAAAGGAATGAAGCGAGGGGCCATGGCTCTATATGCTATACATTATATGCATATTGCACTTCACTTTTTGCCCAAGCTTTTGCAGTACACTTTTTATGTGAGTGCATTTGTTATAAATCAGTTGAAGATATATATCAAAGAAGAAGTTACCATTGTTAAAACTATTTGAGCTCACAGATAAAATATCAATACCTGATATTTAGCAATGCATGTTTTATAATCCGAAGATTTAAAGTTAAACTGTTGATTGATAGTTGCTCGAACAGCCATTTGATCGCGTTGCCTTGTCACATCTCTATTCTACTAATTGAGCTATTTCATACCATTTCCTTTCTTTTCAAGCAGCCAATTCACCCCCACACTTGGGCACCGAGAAGATGGAAACCATCGTAAGATATCTTTTTTATATTCCCATCACCTAATCGCCCCACCTTCCCGATTCGGAACCGTCCATCTCTGCATTCACTTCTGCACAACGGGGGGACTGTCCCTCCTCTATTCCACAGCCAACACCTCCACGTGTACACAGGGTGTCCTCTCTCTCTGCCACACAAGACTTTGCTCTGACAGTTATTCTCTTCTAAACTATCATTTCAACCAGTCTCTGTTGGACCATTCCAAAAAGCATGCATGCATGCTGCCACATCCTCCATTTTTACAACACCTTCCTTTGATACCATGAGCTTCCCTAATTGCCACCCCATTTCCTACACCACTTTAGAACAAGATCCCTCAAAGGAGTTTTCTGTGGTCGCTGTACCCACTCACTCCCCTCTCATTCTCCTCCCAGCCTTCTCTGCCATGCTCACTGCTGCACTGCTTCTGCCCTTGGCAAGGTCACCAAACACCTCCACGTGGGCAAACACAAAGGTTAACTCTCAGTCTTCTTACTTCTCAGCAACATCAGACACAGCTGATCAGTCCTTCCCTTTTGAAACGCCTTCTTTACTTGGCTTCCAAGACGCCATCTTTTATTTGTTTTTCTCCTCCCTGACTGACTACTCCTTCCCAGTGTCCTTTGCTGTAGCACCCTCCTGCTGACCTCAAATTTAGTTGGATCCCAGGGCTCAGTTCTTAGACCTCTTCTCTGCTCTATCTACGCTCACTCCCTCGGTTATCTCATTAAGTCTCAGCCTTTAAATACAATACCACAATTCATGTCCAGACTCATATCTGTAACTGCTTCCTTGATATCTCCGTTAAGATACATAATACACTCGTAAGTTTAACACAGCCAAAACAGAACACGTTATTCCCCCACAACCTATTTTTCCCCTCATTGTTCCTTTTCTCAGTAATGGCACCACCATTTACTTGGGTGTTTGGGCCAAAAACATTGGTGCCATCTTTGACTCCCTTCTTTTCTATTATCCATGCACTCTACATTCAACTGAAAAGCAAAATGTTATCAGCACCTTCATGCTGTTACTTGAATCTAAGGTCCCATCATATTGCCTGTATTTCAATAGTTGATGTCTCTGTTTCCACTCTTGCCCTGGTACAGCAGAGCGGTTTTTATAAGTTTAGAGTCAGATTGTACCATTACCTTCGGCAAAACGCTTCAGTGGTTCCTATGCCATTTAGAATGAAATCCGAACTCCTACTATGACTTTCAGACTCTCATGATCTGGACCCTGCTTGTCCCACCGACTTCTTTTCCTTCCTCTCTCGCCCTTACTCAGCCTCTTTTAGCCACATTGGCTTTTTGACTGTGCCCTAACGTGGGTTCTTCCCCCTCTTCACTACCTTTGGACTTACTGTTCTCTCTGCCTGGATTGCTGTTCCTCCAAACATTCTCAAGACCACCTCCCTCATTTTTATCTGCCCAGGTGTCACCTAATGATCTTCCTATCTAATGGAAGTTATTATCTAATAATTAAAATTGCATGCTTGTTTGTCATTTTCTCTCTCCTTATTCTGCTTTATTTTTCTCAAGGCATTGATTACTGTCTGGTATCTTTTTATGGGTCTGTTTTCTTATTGCCTGCTTCCCCCATGTAAATGTAAAGCTTTTCAAGGACAAGGACTCTATTTTCTTCAATGCCATTATCCCTGCACACCTACAACACTACTTCGCAAAGAACAGACTTTCCGTAAATGTTTATTGAATGAATGAGTGAATTATTAATTCAAAACACTTAAAACTGATTGTTGAAACATGTATTCTAGTTCTTCCACTCTCGTTGCTGGTCATTCATTAGCGTCATTGTTCACAGATAGGGTCACCTGAATCAGAGAATACATAAAATTCACACACACATAAAGTTGTGTATAAAAGAGAGCTAAAAATGAACCCTCATATTTAGTTTCATTTTTAGCTATTAACAATGATAACTGTTAATTTTAATTAACATTGTTAGCAACAACAATAATAGGTGACAATTACTTAATTAACATGGCCAAAATGAAGTTATTTTGCTTACATTCTCTAACAGCAATAATAAGAGAAATATTATTATCCCCATTTTAAGGATGAGAAAGCAGGCTCAGAGTCATTGGGTGATGTTCTAAAACCATGGAGCTTTATTTAACTCCAAACCCTGTGCTTTTGAGTTTCTGATTCATTTTGGAACAAACACTGATATGGCAAATTCATTCAAGTTATACCTGTTGGAAAAGTTAATTCAATAGCCAAAGTCATCTTGTCATTTTTGTTAAAAATTAGAATAGGGTTTAGTTTCACTTATCACAGTGAGGCTCTGTGGAACTACTCAAATGTATTTCCCTGATAGATTACATCAAGAAGTTATGCTGAACTCAGGATAGATTTGCAAGAGGTTCAGCTAGACTACGAAGAGTAACACATATGCCCCAATTTTTGACATATCTGAATGAGGGGAGGGCACTGTGAGAAGGATCATCTGACTATGTAAAACACAACAGGAAAAGAGTATACCCACCCATTGCCATTGAGTTGAATTCCGACTCCTAGCAACCCTGTAGGACAAAGTAGAACTGCCCCACAGGGTCTCCAAGGCTGTAAATTTTTTCAGAAGCAGACTGCCACATCTTTCTCCCACAGATCAACTGGTGGGTTTGAACCGCTGACCTTTTGGTTAGTAGCCAAGTGCTTAACCACTGCTCCACCAGGATTCCTTGAAAAAAGTATAGTTTTCATATTTTCATGGGTGGAAGTAAGGCTGGAATATGCTATTTTCTGCCAATCATGTATATTCATCATTCAGAAAAACATAATTTCAACAAACTTCCCTTCCTTAAGAAAAAAAGTAAAAACAGCAGCAGCAGCAGATTGCTCTATGTGGTGTTGCCATGGGGTCGGCTCCCAACTCATGGCACCCCATACTCACAGGGACCTCATGCACAATACATTCAGACCAGTGTATTGGCTGATTTTTGGAAGTAGATCACCAGGCCTTTCTTCTGAGTCTGTCTAAGTCTGGAAGCTCCGCTGAAACCTATTCAACATCACAGCAACAGCCTCCACTAACAGATAAGAGGTGACTGAGCTTGAGGTACATTGGTTGGGAATCGAACCCAGGTTTCCCACATGGAAGACGAAAATTCTACCACTGAACCACTGTTTGCTTTATGCGGGCTGGTGTGATTGAAATGACTAATGGCTATATAGATGGGAAGAATATAAGATCTGGACTATTTCAATATTAGCTTGCTTGGTCTGTTGAACAAAGAGTTAATTTTCAAAGGTGCTTTAATATTTGCTTCACTAAATCCCCTACCTGTTTTCAATTAGGTGAACAGAAGTACAGGTGGAATGTGCTGCATATTCATTGTTCTTGCTGTTTGGGGACTGGCTTTTAAGATGGAAATAATAATCTAATTGGGTTGAAATGAACAATAAGGAAGTACAGTAGTTCAGGAATGAAAATGTTAAATTAAATGGACCATGTTTAACATTGTTGTTGATCCCGAGGAACAGTTTTTCCAGTATATGGAGCATTCCGAGCCCATCCAGCATATGTTCTCCATGGTTTTCTCTGCTCTAATTCATCTGTGGTTGTCGACAGCTCCAGATGGCGTGCTGCCTCCGAGGCTTTCATCTGCCACTCCAACCAGTCTTCAGGTTGTCTGGTCTACACCAGCTCATAACAACGCTCCAGGCTCTCCCAGATACCAGCTCCAGATGAGGCCTGGCCACTCCACCCATGAATTTCTAGAGTGAGCATTCCACATTGTCCAGTGTAGACCTAATCTGCAGTACCTTAATTTTTGAAGAATAGGCCAGTTCTCATTTGCAACAAATATTGGTTACGTTTTAAAAGTTCAAACAAACAAGAAAACGACCTAGGGGAAAATTATTTGCTCTACAGAATTATCTATTTTTTTCATTTATTTAGCATCTAAAATAAGATTTCTTGATACTTTTCATGAGCGTATGTATTGAATAAAACAGAGATATTCTTGAACGAGGTAGAATGCTGCATGAACTGGGTCTGGAAACTTATAATAACTGTACAAATTCTACATGGCAATCAGTCTCAACACTACAGAATTTACATCTTATATAAACACAAGATTACAAACCCTCAGCCAAATGGCCATTTATTTTAAAAGAGATACCATTCTATAACACAAAATTGCAGTACTTAAATGTGTGTTGACATTCTCTGAAAATTCTTTGCAATGAGATTTTGTCTGTCTTTTTATCTCTTTGAGTGTGTAAAATTTCTAAGTAACATCTCTTCCCCATACAGGTTATTTGCTAATCCTTCTGCATCGTTGAGTTATGAAGTGAGAGATCTCCAGCCGTACACAGAGTATGAGTTTCGGCTGGTTGCCTCCAATGGATTTGGCAGTGCTCGTAGTTCTTGGATTCCATTCATGACCACAGAGGACAGTAAGTGCTCCAACAATACACAGCCAAATGGCCTCCATACTGGGGGTATTGAGTCTTCAGTTTTTCCAAAGCAAAGAAATCAACCTCTCTACTTCCTTGATCTTTAGCACAATAATATTTTCTGGGGGAAGGAGGAAAATCTCCAGACAGAAGAAAAATGTGGGCTTGGAGGGTTGGAGGATCAGGCCTACAGACAGGAAGAAGTCATTCACAATAAATTATGATATGGGTCAGAATCCACTCGATGGCAACAGGTTTGGTTTTGGTATGGCCGTGTTGTATCCATCAAGGTGCACCTAGGTATCCTGCAGGAGAAAGGTTGTATCTTCTCTATGACCAAATGTTACAGTGTTCTCCATTTTGGAGGAAGCCTGGCAGGTAGAAGAAAGTGAAATGTGAACCTCATTTCATGAAGATGGTTAAAGTGTCTTTAAACGGTTTCCTGGAAACAGATTCCACTGTGCTTTTGCTTGAGCCTGAGAGCCAGCCTCGAGAATAAAGTACAATCTGACAACAGTGATTCTGCATGTATTACAAAGGGTAGATTAGGATGGCTTTATTCAACCAATAAAGAGAATTTTCTAAATTTTCACTGAAAAGTTGTGTTTGCATATATATGTTTTACTAGGTTACGTAAGTAAAATAAATGCATGACTGTGATGTTTGGTTTTATACAAATATAAAATCTATAAAAGCATATATTTGGCAATAAATTTTTTTTGAAAGTTGGAAATGAAATCAAGATACACAAAGAAAAAGGGGACACTATCTGTGCTTTAGGTGAAGGTTTACAGAGCAAATTAATTTCTCATTTAATAGTTTATCCTCAAATTGTTCCATGACATTGGTTGCGATCCCCACAATGTGTCAACACGCTCCCCATTACCACCCTGAGTTTCCCATTTACATTCGTCCAGTTTTCCTGCCCCTTCTGCCTTTTCATATTTGCTTTTGGGCAGGTATTGCCCTTTTGGTCTCATGTAGATGATGTTCTAAGGAGCACTTTCCTCTCGTGTGTTATTGTTTATTTATAAATCTGTCTATTATTTTGCTGAAAGGTGATCTCTGGGAATGGCTTCAGTTCCAACTTAAAAGGGTGTCTAGGGGCCAGAGTCTTGGAGGTTCCTCCAGTCTCTCTCAGACCAGTAAATTTGGTCTTTTTTAATGCATGTGAATTTTGTTCTACTTTTTTTCCCCACTCTAACCAGTACCTTCTATTGTGATCCTGGTCAGAGTGGTCAGTAGTGGTAGCCGGGCACCATCTAGGTCTTCTGGTCTCAGGCTAGTGGAGGCTGTGGTTCCTGTGGTCCATTAATCCTTTGGACTAATTGTTTCCTTGAGTCTGATTTTCTTCACTCTCCTTTGCTCTGGACATAAAGAGACCAGTAGTTATATCTTAGGTGGCCACTTGCAAGCTTTTAAAACCCTGGACTACTTACCACAGAAGGATATAGAGTGTTGTCTTTATGACTATGTTATGCCAATTGACCTAGATGTCCCTGAGACTATGGTCTTTAGCCTTCAAGCCCAGTAACTCAGTACCTTGAGGTGTTTGGTTATGTCTAGGATGTTTCCATGACTGTGGCCCCTGTGTACTCTATTATATATGTTAATATACATGCTGTACATACAAATACGTATGTGGAAATATCACAGCCAAATCTATATATGCATGTGGGTATACTCCCATACACCCTTCAGTACCTGTTCAACATACACATCTACCTATGTATCCACTCATAAATTATTGTTTTTTATTACCGTTGTTGCAGGATTTTATATGTTATAGTATTTACCGTCCATGTCTTTTATTCTTGTGTGCCTCTCAGTGTCTTCCCTTGCCTTGGTCATGTGCTGACTCCCCCCATGTTGTGTACTGCCTTTCCCTTCACCAAAGTTAACGTGTGTCTGCTCTCTAGTTAGTGATTTTCCTTCCCTCCCTCTCCCATCCCTAGTAACCATCAAAAAATGTTTCTTTATGTGTGTAAACCTTTTCTTGACTATTCATAATAGTGGTTTCATACAATATTTGTCCTTTTGTGATTGACTTATTTCACTCAGCGTAATGGCCTCCAGATTCATCCATGTTGGGAGATGTTTCTCGAATTCATCATTATTCTTTACTGTTGCACAGTATTTCATTGTGTGTATGTACCGCAGCTTGTTTAACCCATTCATCTGTTGATCAGCACTTAGATTGTTTCCATCTTTTTGCTATTGTGAATAATGCTGTAATGAACATGGGTTTGCATGTGTCTATTCTTGTCACGGCTCTTATTTCCCTAGTATGTATACCTAGGAGTGAGATTACTGGATCATATGGTATTTCTATTTCTAGCTTTTTAACCCTTCCATGGATAAATTTTTTTTGGAATTGTTTGGTGATGCCATGTTTTTTTACTAATGGAATGGATGCTGAATCATTGTTTGTTGGTACTTTTTTATTATTTGAGAAAACGTGGTACCAGCTGCAAGTGGGACATATCAGTCCCAAGTTCCATGAAGCACATCACACATGGGACATATCAGTCCCATGGTGCATCACACTTTCTGGTTACACTTGAGCCATAAAATACCTTACTCAACTTTCCAAAAATACACATGAAATACTAATTGAACATTGAGCTTGCTGCACATGATTGTTACCAATTTGATTTAGAGTGAGCCATATCAGTACCTTGTTCCATAAAGCACACCACACACACAGGACATTTCAGTCCCATGTCCCCGGAAATGCATCACAAACTGTTCCCCCCAAAAATAACTCATTTACTTGAATCTTTCCAAATACCAGTAACTGTACCTTGTCAATAACATAAAGGAAATAGTAAACACACTTGCAACCCTCATCTCGCTGTACAGAAGCCAAAAGACACAAACGTTTTACAGAATCACTCTTCCGGGAAGCATCCCCTCACACAAAGGGCTCTCAGCACTCAAATGTGGCACAGACCAACCTCCTTGTTTTTTAGGCAGTTGCAGCATATTTGCCACAATGCCAGAATGTACTAAAGTGGTTCAAATGCCTGCCAATAAACCTCCAGGGCCTGAAAATGTAACACAGGCATATATATCCCACAGTTCAGGAAACACCATACTGTTCTCCATAGTGATTGTACCATTTTACATTCCTACCAGCAATGTGTAAGAGTTCCAATCTCCCCATAACCTTTCCAGCATTTTTTTTTTTTTTTTGATCAATGCCGTTATTGCCAGGGTGAGATGGGATCTCATCTTAGTTTTGATTTGTGTCTCTATAATGCCTAATGATCGGGAGCGTCTCTTCATTGTTTTTTCAGCACCGGAATGACTTCTTTGGTGAAGTGTCAGCTCATGTCCTTTGCCCACTTTTTTAACTGGGTTGTTTGTCTTTTGGTTGTTGAGGTGTTAATGTTTTCTATGAATTTTCAAGATTAAACTCTTGTCAGATATGTCACAGTCAAAAAATTTGTCCCAGTCTGTAAGTTCTCTTTTTACTCTTTTGGTGAAGTCTTTTGATGAGCCTAAGTGTTTAATTTTTAGGAGATCCCAGTTACCTAGTTTATCTTCTGATGTTGCTGAATTTTTAGTTATGTTTGATATTCTATTTATGCCATGTATTAGGGCCCCTAATATTATCCCTGGAGCCCTGGTGGTGCAGAAGTTAAGTGATATGGCTGCTAACCAAAAGGTCGGCAGTCCAAACTCACCAGCTGCTCCTTGGAAACCCTATGGAGCATTTCTACTCTGTCCTCTCGGGTTCATAGGAATCCAGCCAACAGGAACAGGTTTCTGTTGTTGTTCTTTTTAACATTATCCGTATTTTTTCTTCCATGGTCTTTATAGTTTTAGGTTTTACATTTAGGTCTTTGATCCATTTTGAATTAGTTTTTGTGTATAGTATGAGGTATGGATCTTCTTTTACTTTTCTGCAAATGGATATCCAGTTTTGCCAGCACCATTTGTTGAAGAGACTTTCTCTTCTCTATGTACTAAACTTGGACCCTTTGTACCAGTACCAGGCTGTTTTGACTACTGTGGCTGTTTAGTGGGTTCTGAGATTGGAGAGTGTGAGGCCTCCTACTTTGTTCTTCTTCAGTATTGCTTTGCTTATCCGGGGTCTCTTTCCTTTGCATATAAAATTGGTGATTGTTTAATATTGCCGCTCCTGTTCTTTTTTGGTTACTGTTTGCTTGATATATTTTTTGCCATATTTTGACTTTTAGTTTATTTTTGTCTTCATGTCTAAGGCATGTCTCTTGTAGGCAACACATTGATGGTCACTTTTTTTTTTACCCCATTCTATTACTCTCTGTCTCTTGACTGGTGCATTTTACCCACTTAAATTCGTGTGATTATTGATAGGTATGAATTTATTGCTGTCATTTTGTTGTGCCCTTTTTTTAGTGGTGTTAATGGTTTATTTGTTCTGCTTACTTTTCATTAGTGTATTTTGTTGTTTATGGATTTTCCTTTCATTTCCTTTGTTGTTACTGATTTTGTGTTTACTAAGTCTTTATGGTTTTCTTCTTTTGTATTTTGATGAATAGGTTTATTAATTTTTTTTGTGGTTACCCTGAAATTTACCTTTATCTTCCTAAGTTTAAAACAGTCTGTTATGTCTTGATATTGCCTTGACTTCCTATGCATATAAAAGTTCTGTAGCTACACCATTTATTCCCCCTTTTTATTTTAAAGTTGTCATCATTTACAGATTGACATCTCTGGTCCGTGTTTTCGGTCTATTGCTTTATTTTATTTTTGAGAATTCTTTGTCTTGGTTGGTTGGTATCTAGGTGACGTTATCATGTGTATTAGTCTCAGGTTGTTGTCTGATATGGTTGGCTCTCTGTCTGAAGGACTCCCTTTAATATTTCTTGTAAGGTTGGTTTGATTTTTACAAATTCCATTAATATCTGTTTATCTGGAAATATCTTTCACCATTATAATTGAGAGACAATTTTGCTGGATATATAATTCTTGATTGACAATTTTTATTTCTTTCAGGGTTTTATGTATGT